AACCACAAATAATATAATATCTTGCGGTAAATCTAACCAAACAAGTGAAAGACCTTCAAGTCTTTGAAGAAGGAAATTGAAGAGATATCAGAAGATGGAAAGACCTCCCATGCTCATGATTGACAGTATTAACGTAGTAAAAATGGCCATTCTACCAAAAGCAATCTGCAGATTCAACACAGTCCCCATCAAAATTCCAGCACAATTCTTTTAAAAATTATTTATTTTTATTTCATGTGCATTGTTGTTTTTTTCAGATTTATTTATTATGTATACATTGTTCTGCCTGCAAGTATGCCTGAAGGCCAGAAGAAGGCACCAGATCTCATTACAGATGGCTGTGAACCATCATGTGGTTGCTGGGAATTGAACTCAGGACCTCTGGAATAGAAGCCAGTGCTCTTAGTCTCTGAGCCATCTCTCCAGCCCAAATATCTATCTGTATGTGTGTTTTGTTTTGTTTTGGTTTTTTTTTTTTCCGAGACAGGGTTTCTCTGTATTGGTTTGGAGGTTGTCCTGGAACTCTCTCTGTAGACCAGCTGGCCTCAAACTCACAGAGATCCACCTGCCTCTGACTCCTGAGTGCTGGGGTTACAGGTGTGAGCCACCAACGCTCCACAATTATTTTTTTTAAGATTTTATATATTTTTACATATATAATTATATATATATTTTATATATATAATTAAATATATATTTATTTAATATATATACAACATTCTGCTTCCATGTATATCTGCACACCAGAAGAGGGCACCAGATCTCATTACAGATGGTTGTGAGCCACCATGTGGTTGCTGGGAATTGAACTCAGGACCTCTGGAAGAACAGTCAGTGCTCTTAACCTCTGAGCCATCTCTCCAGACAGTCCACAATTCTTAAAAGGCTTTGAAAGTGCAACACTCAACTTCATATGAAAAAACAAAAACAAAAACAAAAACCAGGATAGCTAAAATAATCCTGTACAATAAAAGAACTCCCAGAGGTTTTAAGCTGTATTACAGAGCTGTAGTAATAAAAACTACATGGTATTGGCTTCAAAGAGATCCAGACAAAATCCAGGCAAAAAAATCCACACATCTATGGACACCCAATTTTCAGTAAAGAAGCTAGAAATATACAAAGGAAAAAAGAAAGCATCTTCAATAAATGACACAGGTCTAACTGGATGCCAGCATGTAGAAGAATGCAAATAGATCCATATCTATCACGCTGCACAAAACTCAAGTCCAGATGGATCAATGGCCTCAACATAAAACCAGATACACTGAATCTGATAGAAGAAAAAGTGGGGAATAGCCTTGAATGTATTGGTACAGGAGACAACTTCTTGAACAGAACACTCATAGCCCAACACTAAGATCAACAATTAATAAACAGAAACTCATGAAACAGAAAAACTTCCATAAGGCAAAGGACACCATCAATAGGATAAATGGCAGCCTACAGAATGGGAAAAGGTTTTCACCAATTCCACATCTGAAAGAGGTTTAATATCCAAAATACATAAAGAACTCAAGAAATGAGAGACCAACAAACTAAATAATTCAATTTAAAAATGGGGTACAGACCTAAACAGAGAGTCTCAACAGAGGAAACAAAATGGCTGAGAAACACTTAAAGAAATGTTCAACATCCTTAGACATCAGGGAAATGCAAATCAAACCAACTTTGAGATTTCATCTTATACCTCTCAAGTGACAGCTCATGCTGGAGAAGACGTGGAGCAAGGGGAACACTCCTCCACCACACCGTGGGAGTGCAAACTTGTACACTTTGGAAACCAATATGTCAGTTTCTCGGAAATTTGGGAATTGATCTACATCGACCCACCTAGACCACTCCTGAGCATATACCCAAAAGGCACTCCATCCTACCACAAGGACGCTTGCTCAACTATGTTCGTATCAGCTTTACTCGTAATAGCCAGAAAGTGTAAACAACTTCGATGCCCCTCAACTGAAGAATGGATAAAGTAAATGTGGTGCATTTACACAAAGGAGTAATACCCAGCTGTTAAAAACAATGATATCATGAAATTTGTAGGCAAATGGATTTGAACTTGAAAAAAAATCATCCCCTGAGTGAGTTAACCAAGACCGAGAAAGACAAACATGGTGTGCTCACTTATAAGTGGATATTAGCTGTAAAGTAAAAGATATCATGCTACGTTCCACAGACCCAGATAGGCTAAGTAACAAGGAGGGACTGGGGTGTGTGTGTGCCCAAGAAGGTGAAATAGAATAGATTTCAAGAGTGGACTGGGGGGCCAAGCGGTGGTGGCTCATGCCTTTAGTCCCAGAACTCTGGGGGCAGCAGCAGGAGGATCTCTGTGAGTTCGAGACCAGCCTGGTCTACAAGAGCTAGTTCCAGGACAGCCTCCAAAGCCACAGAGAAACCCTGTCTCAAAAAACAACAAAAAGGGTGGACTGGGGGCAGGTGGAGTTGGGAACAGGAAGGGATCAAGTAGTGGAGAAGGAGAAAACACTGGGAGAAACAACTGGAATTAGGGGATATTTTGGGGGCAAGGTGGAATCCTAGTTCAATGGAACTCCATGGAATCTAGCAAAAATCTAGGGTTATTCTAAAGGGTAACCCCAGCAAAGACTCCTAGTAATGGGGGACACAGAGCCTGAATCGGCCATCTTCTGTAACCAGGCAAGGCCTCAAGTGGAAAGATTGGGACACCAGCCCAGTCACAAAACCTTTGACTTACAGTTAGCGTCATCTGCAGAGTGTTCTGGGACTGGAACCCAGCAGGATAGTCATTGAGGAGACCAGAGAGACTTCATCCAGAAATTGATAGGAGAAGATGCTGGAGTCCCACAGCCAAACATTGGGGAGTCTTGCAGAGGAGGCGGTGGAGGAGGGTGAGGGGGGAATGGGGTGGGGGTTGAGGATCAGAGGAACCGGAGGGATTAGGGACACCGTGAGAACAAGGCCCACAAATCAGCTGACCCGGGGCTCTCTGAGATCAGGGAGCCTGGGGGGGGGGTCTGACCTAGACCTTCTACATATATGTTCTGGCTAAGGAGCTTGGTGTATTTTTGTGGGACTTCTAACAGGGGAAATGGGGGTTGTCTCTGACTCTTTCGCCTGCTTGTGGGACCCTTTTCCTCCTACTGGGTCACCTCATCCAGCCACGATATGCTGGCACATGCCTTGTCTTATTGTAGCATATTATGCCGTGTTTGGTTGATGCCCCTAGGAGGCCTGCTGTTTTCCAAGTGGAGACAGGAGTAGGGATAGGAGGGTGGATCTGGGGGAGAGGGGAGGTGGGAGAGGCTGGGTGGAAGGAGGGGGGAAACTGCAGTCAGGATGTAATATATGTGAGCAGAATAAAAACGAAATAAAAACCCACCACCACCAAACAAACAAAAAACAGAATGACTATTTATGGGGAAAGTATAGAGGTGCTCCCTCCAGTTAAATGAAAACCACCATTGGCTCAGCAATTTCACTTCTGGGTTCATTGCTACAGGACATTAAAGTCATACACTGTCAAGTTGTCTGCATTGCCACGATTAGCACTGCACAAGCCAAGGCCTGGGATACAGAAAGTATGGTATATACACAATGGAATAGTGCTTAACCCCCAAACAGAAGAGAATCCTGTCACCTGTGACAAAGGTGAGACTTGAGCATGTTTTCCTGATGAAAGAAGCCAGGGACAGAAAGAAAAATTCTGCACAGTCTGTCTTAGAACAGGGATCTAGAAAAGACTCGACTTAGTTCTGCAGAGAGAAGAGTGGCTGCCAGGGACCGGGAATGAGAGAGGGAAGGAGGAAGAGAAAAGAGGAGCAGGAAGGGATGGGGAGAGACAATGGCATGAATGTGTGGGAGTGACTAACCACTTCCTCAAGGAGAGTGAGAAAAGCCCCGGGAGCACAGGGTGCATTTAGATTCCCTACTGTACAGTGTGTGTGCGTGAGTGTGTGTGTGTGTGAGAGTATGTGTATATGTGTATGTGTATATGAATGTGTGTACAAACATGATGCAGGAAACTTCACTCCTGGCAATTGCCAGCACATCACCTGATTGGAGTGAAGGCCTCTGCTCCCTGAGCCCCAACTTCTTACACTCTAACATTGTTCAGGCCACCACAGAACACTAGTCCCATAGGTACTCTGCCAGGAGAGGAGACACCATTGACCTTACATGTGTCCCACCACTCAGGAGAGATGTGTGATGGTCTCACTGGGCCTTGCCCTGGACATCATCATCCACAGCCAAAGGATGTAGAGACAATGACAGGGTGACCAGAGCATGAGCTGTAGCATCCTGGGAAGAAGCTGCCTGGCCACTCTGCCAAGTCTGTGATCCTGTAGGGAGTTTCTTTTTGAATAAAGGAGCTGGCCATGGCAGTGTCACTCACTTCTTCAGACTGATGAAGCCTCGCTGAGTTATCTCTGCCAAGTGTGATAGCTCACACTTTCAATCCCAGCACTTGGGAGGTAGAGGCAGGCAAAGCTCTGTGAGTTCAAGGCCAGCCTTGTCCACATAGTGAGTTCCTGGACAACCAGGGATACACAGAGAAACCCTGTCTCAGAAAACAAAACAAAACAAACAAAAAGACAACAAAAAAGAAAGGTGCATAGATCTAGAACGCACTGGACACTCAGTAAAGAGGAGAGTCCCTGCAGGCTGTGGAGAAGAGTCTGCTGACTGTCACTGAACTTGGGAAGGACACCAGTTGATGACACCCCATCCCAAACATCCCCTTGCCTATGCCCAACTCCTCTCTGTCATGAGCTCTGCCCTTGAGGATGGAAAGCCTTGGTTTAGTCCAGGGGAGAAGGTCCTATGAGTCTGGGCTACTCTGGATGTCCTTACCTGGGAAATGGATGCCGTGAGTCAGTTCCCTGGGCTTGGAAACATGGGTGGGGAGTTCCTATCTCCAGTTTTGCCTGTCTCTTCTTCCCATCCAGCTTCTCAATATGCCCCACACACAGTCCAGAAATGAACACAGGGACACTCGATTTTGTGGGTAGTATCTTTATTTGGGTGTAGCTGCCTGGAGGCCAAATATGCCAACTCTGTGTCCCATTGCCCTGTCATGGATATGGCTATACTGGGAGGGGTTATGACTCCGATGATGCCTGAGTATGGATGGGGTGGGCTGAGAGGGTAGGTGTCTGGAGTGGGCTTAAGACACTCTGGCCATTTCAGCTACAGCCTGTACAGGCAACGTTCATACACAGCTCACATTCATCGGTGGAGATGGTCTCTGTGGAAGGAGAAGGTAGGTTAGTTGAAATTGGACCTTAGGGGGCCAGTGGTCACACATGCTGTTGGCCAGGAGCTGCTGGGGAAAGGGTCTGATATCTTCCTTACAGAAATCAGGACGCTCTGGACTCAGAGTGAGAGGGCCAGGGCCTAGATTCCTCTCTCATGTGCTGTCCTTTCTAGCAGGGACTTCCAAGGCACTTCCTCTCCTGGTCAGAGGTTTCTTATCTGCTGCATGGGCTGAGCAACCTGACCTGAGTGCTATAGGAAGGGCCCTGGGCCAAAGGATCAGGACCTGCCCAGAGCAGAGACACAAAGGCCTGTGGATTGCAACAGCATGTGCCCAGCTCTTCTGCACCCTTCTGATGCCAGCTCAGCTGTCACCTCCCCAGGAAGCCATTCCAAGCCTGATCTCACCAGATGGATCAGATGGCTTCGTCTCATGGAATCATGCCTGTGGCTTCTGAGACTCCCTCCCCGCATTTGTGAGGTCTTCGAAGGATTTCTTAGGACTGTGGGATTATTTTCTACCTAACTCAATACGCCAAACTGGGACAGTTCTGGGGAGGGCCTGGCTGTGACCCTCCAAACTCCCTGTCCATAGCCACTGGGTTGCTTAACAAAAATAAGTAACGGTGGAGAGTGGCATAGGACACACATAGAAGGGCAGGGAGATCTGGGGGACAATGTGCTTACTCAAGGCCTTGAAGATGCTGGCAGCTTCCTGGGAGGCACAAACAGGCTGCAGGTCCAGGGGCAAGGCTGGGTCATGGCACACAGCAGGTAGGAGGCCACTGGTCTTCAGTTGGGGCTCGGATGTCTGCTGCTTCTCCAACTCACTCAGCTTCTTCACCGATTCCAGCTTTACTTGGAAGCCATCATACTGCGGAGAAGGGAGGGGTGAGAGGTCACCAGGCACTGACTAGGAGCAGGCAGTGTCATGAGATGGGTCATCAAAATCCCATGGGTCCTCCAGAATATTCTCTGTCCTCGCGGAGAGTTTAAGCCACACTGGGAAAGCAGTTTGTGAGGAGGAAAGTGGAGTGTTAGCTTGTGATCTGCCACCAGCAGCTTTAGACGCCTTCTGTCACAGGCTGTTCACAAGAGGAGCACTGTAGGTCAGCCCATGGCATTAGACACAGGAAGACCCTTGCAGCTCCTATCTTTGCCTCCATCCAGCTATCCGTCTTTTCCCCATGTGACCTGACCTTCCCTTGTGGGAACCTGGCACCAGACAGACCAGCTAACAGGTCCTTTCTCAGAATTGGCCTGGAGACTCTCCGGTGACATCGATCCTCTCAGCCCCTCCTAGACCCTTTTATTCTCCTCCTGGGAACCTTGCCAGATACAGATGCCAAACTACAGTTACACAAGTTTAGCAAGACCAGCAGCATCCTGCCACACTGTGGCCAGGTCCGATTCCATGCCCCACCCATCTTATAGTCCCTGGAAGGACACTGAAGTCCATGTTCCCTTTTTCTGGCCTTTGCTCTGCCTGGAATGTGTTCACCCGGGCCTTGCACCATGCATCCTTCAGTGAGCACAAAGGTCCCTGCCAAGGAAACCTTTCTGGTGACTTACCCCTGTGGGTAAGCACAGGGGAGAGAGCCCAAGAAGGGTCTCCTTTCCTCTCAGCCCTTTTAGGGATGACCCTCATCTCCTTCTATACTGTGGCTATGCTGCCTTCAAGGGAGAACAGAGATGAAAAGCCAGGTTTCACTCATCATCATTTCTATCACTGTTGCTGTTGACACTCCTGAGGCCTCCACACAGCAGGTGTCTCAGTCTAGACTGGCTGCTGGGCTGAGTCCCCATCCTTCAGGCAAAAGGTAGGCTGGCTGGGGTCTCACCTTGATGTAGACGGACTGCACACTCTGCAGCAGCAGCAGCAGGACCATGGCAGCCTGCAGTTGGCTCCCCGACATGGCCCTGCCTCTCATCTCACGTCTCTGGGTTCCTGCTTCCTCCACTGTCCACCTGGCTGCCTCCTGCCTCCTGGCCAGCAGCCCCTTATAGGCCCGGGTCCAGAGCTCTGGTCACTTATTAACTGTATCACTGGGGTGGGGTTGACAGAAGCCTGGCTCTTTGACAAATTCAGAGTTGGTTCCCAGAAAGGGGGTGGGGGTGATGATGATGATGGGGAATCCAGATGTGTGGGAACGTGGCCTGCCAAGGTCTTGTCATGGATAGGATTCTGTGGGAAGACCTTAGGCCACTTCACTTTCCATTGTGTCCTGCACACCTGGGAGGAGGGGAAGGTGACGAGTCAGGAATGCACTACCAGGTGAAGTGATTTGCCCAGGTCAAAGTGACTCCAGCCACGTCTTTAGCCCAGGTCAGCCCCTAGTTTTTTTGAGTGAACGGTGCGGGCAGATGGCTCAGAGCAAGGTGGAACACAAGGATGACATCAGGGCTTTCCAGTACTAACTTCACCCAAGTCCAACATCTTGTTCCAATCCCAGAACTACGTATGGAAAGACCAGCCTGTAACCAGTCCTTGCCCAGCCCTCTGCCTGCCAGTTCCCATTTGTACCTGAGTACCCTGGCTTGTATGAGACCCGTATCTGTACCCACGTCTTGGTAGCTAGCAGATCAATGTGGTGTGAAGGAAAGGGCTCAGATATCATAGAAAGTGACAGGGTGAGGCTCAGGGCCAGCTCTGGAGCAGCTGCTGCATGTGCCTGGGGAGTCTCACCGAGGTTTTCTTCACTCTCCCATCACACAAGCCTATCAGAAGCCACCCACAAAGGTGGCTGTGGGCATGATGGGCTCCAGACCCTTGAGTTTATCTTCATTCCTGGGTGAGTCATCTATAACTGGTCCTTTAATCTCACAGCCCACCTCCCAGTGGGCAAAGGTCAGGTCAGAGAGGAAAGGGTGAAGGCTCTGAGGGTGCTAACACCGTGGCCAAGCCCAGCAACTCTAAACAGTGGTCCTGCAGGGGCAGCGCTGGGCCAGGAACAGACTGATATGTGGCGAGTACCCCAGCATGAGCCTGAGCTGAATCCACCACAGCCTACCTGGGCACCTACTGTCCCTCAGATTTGGTGGCTAAATGAACATTATCACGTGCTCCAACAGACCAGTCCTGCTTATGCATTTGTGATACATTTCATCTCCCAGAACTCCTAGTCTTCACTCTTATCTTGCACTGAAATAGATAAAAGGCTCAAGTGAACTTTGGAGTTTCTTATGTCTTGCTTTGAATCTAGACTTCGGCCTTTATTCTGGAGTCTTTGGAGTCTCACATTCTCTTCTCCACAAGATGCATTTAACAACTGTCAGATAACCGTAGCTCAAATGCTTGATATGAGTTAACGCAAAGGCATGACAAGGCACTCTGCCTCTGCTCCCCCCGGGGAGTAGGAGGAATGGGCCAATATTCTATCCAGAACCCCTACCTGTGCTCAGCTATAGGAAAAGAAGCATGATCCTTGGAGGTAGGGAGACCTGGGCTTGGACCCAGACTCCGGCAGCTACCCACCATATGACCTTGCTTACCCTCGATGAGTCTCAGTTTTCTCACCACTGAAGTCAAGGACACAATGAAGTACCTAACCGTGCTTGTGAAAACTAATAGCCCTTGTCCTGGGGAGCCAGTGAGGTACTTGTCCCCAGATATATAATTTCAGCACATGCCAGGGATACCTGCAACAGAAGATGGCCTCCCCACCTGTTCTTTCCCATGGCATCCTCCCAGACAAGCCCTGTCTCTAAACCCGAGGTGGGGACAGGTGTGACCCTCAGCCTTGGCAGGCTGGGCCCAGTGCCACCCTATCCAAAGCACTGGGTTTGCTCAGCCATGTCACCTCATAATCAATACAACCTGAGGTTTCAGCTGCCAATTTGTAGAGAAATGATTGGTCCCCAGTGTTGGAAATTGTCATGAGCCTGCTTGATTGCCACTCTTTCTATGGAACATGTTCAGCCCACTGGCCCCTATATCAAGGGACAGGAGTTTGAAGGCCCTGTGGTGGAGCTCACCTTCCTTTTCCAGCCACTGGCTCTTTCAGCTAGTCCTCAGCACACGTCCATCATTCCCTGGGAATGAATCATGACTTCCTCTTCTGCCTGACAAGACTCAAAATTTCCAACCCCATCTCCTCCTAATCTCTTTATGAATGACCCACCATCCATAAAAGCCAACTTGGCCACAGATGCAAATCCTCACTGCCACTCTGATCAGCTCATTTACGTCACCTGGTGTCATTGGGGAACTTCTGACTTCAAGAATCCAGGAAGCCACTGCCATAACAGCTTGTGGAAGCTCACATGGGTAAGGATGGGGGACAGTTTGCCTCTGGAGATTTAGCTACTCCTCTCCCCACATTGAGTCCCTGCTTGGTATCCACTTTTGTGGCACCCCAGTTTCCCCAGGAACATTTCTCAGAGTTTGTTGTTCACTTGGCAGTGGGCATATGGGCTTTCCAGGTTTTCTGACATCCCTGGCCCCATCTCTTCAGTTTCCTTGGTCCTTAAAGTTAGAACTCACCAGGGGCACCAGGACTCATCCTTGGGCCTCTGCCCTCTTCCTACAGTCACCTACTTTAGTGTCATCCAGCTGCAAGGAATTCCATGCCTCCAGTCTTTGGGATTGTCTAGCCTAACCCTCCCACTCATCAATCAATCTACCTCCTCAGCCTCTCTTGTCACTGTTGATATTACCAGGTGCCCAAGGGGTCAGGTCAAAACTTAAGGAGTCATTTTTGACACTTCTTGCTCATTTGCCAAGTTCAATGCTTTCACAGGTTCAGCTGTATTGACTTTCAGAATCAGGCCTCATCTAAGAATGAAAGTTACAAGCTATCGTCCTTGTGGTTTCATGAAATTTTGTAACAGCAGAGTTAGGCAGAGGTCTCCAGAGAAACAGTATCCACAGGATCTGTTCAACTATCTGTCTGTCAATCAACCACCAATCTATGTATCTGTTTTCTATCTAGATTTACTTTGAGGAACCCGGTCATGTGCCTATCAAGACTGACAGGTCTGAACTGGGTAGGGCAGGTTGACAGGCTGATAATTCAGCTAAGAGTTGTGGCAGGGCTGTAGCGAGTTCTTATCGTTTTATGTTGCCTTTGTGTCTATTTTAAATACAGGCTGGATGTTTTCACACTGGGGCGAGACAGTTGCTAATTTTACTCACTTTTGCCCAGTTCCTCAATGTGATTGATCACATGTCTACCTTAGATAACTGTTCTTGGTGACCCTTTCCCTACAGAGTAGCTAAATGTAGCCTGTCTCTGTTGACCTTCACACCCTGTGTGGACAAAATAGATATCACTGTAACCACATTCCAGTCAGTGCCGCTTTCTGGAACTGGAATCCGTGCCTGCTTTTGTGACTTATGATTTTTGTTTTATTTTGGACTGTGTTTCACTATGTAGACCAGGCTGGCCCAGAACTCAGAGTTCCTGGTGCCTCTGTCTCCTGAGTGCAGCACTTGCCTGAAACACACCATTTAAAGAGAGATTCTGTCTCTGTCTCATGTCTGTCTGTCTGTCTGTTTCTCTTCTAGTCCTCTCCCCACCTGTATGTGTGTGGCTTCTGGGAGAAGATCCCAGACCTATTTCCATCTTGTAGTTGTCCTTCCTAGTCATGGACAGGACTCTGTGAAGCCCGCACAGAGGAGCAATCTGGAATCTGAGATTGCAGGGTAGTGCAGCCTTTAGAAATGCAGGCGGAGGGACTGTATTCAGTCTTCAGGCTCAACCTCTCCTCTGAAACTCTTAATCTTTGCTTTTAAGATGTTCAACTGACTGAAGCCCTGCCCCCATAGCATGGAGGGCAATCATCTGTACTCCAGGCTTATTAAATATCAATATTAACCACATCTAGAAATGATGTTTTCAGAGTAACATCTAGTTGGTGTTTAACTAGACCATGAGCTGTCATAAGCACCCGAACTGATTCACTGAGCCCACACTTGCTCCACTGCTGGCCTTTGTCCACACATCAGTCAGCATGACCCTGGGAAGGTCCGACTGCATATAGCTTCCCACTTCCCACCCAGTAAAACCCAAAGGCTTTCTTCCATCTATGGGTTCCCTTGGGCATGCTCTCTTCAGCTTTGACTTCAGCTCCAAAATGTTGCTCTTTGGGTTTCATCCATCCTGTTAGCTTCCATGTCCCTCAAACATGTCAAGAACTGGTTTTTTTTTTTTAAATTAAATTTGAGGTTAGTATGTAGAGCAATGGGTTTTGTCATGGAATCTTCATATGCAAGTGTCATTGTTCCATGTCCTCAGCATAGCTGGTTCCATTTCCTGGCTTCGTGAACCGTGCAGCTACAAAAGTGGATGTGCATGGCTCTCTATGGTGTGTTGCCATAGTCCTTTTAAGAATATACTCGAGTGGCCCAGCTGGGTCACATGGTAGATTCAGTGTCTGTGTTTTAAAGAACCGGAATACTGATTTCCATAGCTGGTGCACCAGTTCACACTCCCACGAGCAGTGGATGAGACTTCCCCTTTCCCTACAGCCTTGCCAGCATTTGCTGTCATTTCTTTTCTTGATCATAGTCATTCTGACTAGGGTGAGAGAGGCTCTCCAAACAGTTCAGATTTGCGTTTTCTATGATGTCTTCAAATATTTAGTGGCCATTTGTTTTTCTTGCTGAGAAATGTCTGTTCAGCTCATTAGATCATATATTGATTTGGAGGATGCTTTATTTTAGTGTGTGTGTGTGTGTGTGCACGCACACGCGCCTGTGCGTTTTGAAACAGGGTCTCACTATGCGGTCCTGGCTAGCTTGGAACTCACTACGTAGACCACGTCTCAAACTCATAGCCTCTCTCCTCCACGTGCCACCACACCTGATAGTGTTTAATTTTTACAATTATGCATTTCTCCTGGATGTTAATGCCTGTGTGGTGAGCAGATAGCTTCCCTGCCATCTGTAGTCTGTCTCTCCACTCCGGCTGTTGTCTGTGCAGAAGAAGCTTCTTTGTTTCATGAATTAAACCTGTTCAATTTCAACCCCATTTGCCAGTTGTTAGGATAACTTCCTGTGTTGTTGGAGTCCATTTTGCTATCTTGAAATGTTTTACTCATCTCATTCAAACTTTCTTTTTCTGAACTCACTGGCCTCCTCTCGATGGGTCACATACAGCAGCCAGAGTGAGTAGGGAGACTGGGCACCATGCGAATCCCAGATCCCAGAGGAGATGTCTTCAGAGCTCCATTTAGTATAACACTGCCACGTGGCCTTTATTATGGAGAGATCTGCTCCTATT